AAGTAAGTAGGTATTACAATTTTAAATTATTCAAAATACTATACATTATTAGGCCCGGAATCAAATGTTTTAAATCGTGCAAAATATACATGTAATACATATCGATAATCTTTGTACCTAAATTATAACTTATAATTTATAAACTTTTTTTGTCTAACCTATTAAGATTTCGAAATTGGAACGTACCACATGTTGGTTCCGGGGCTGCCTACAGGCTACAGGTAATATATGAATCGGTGAGCTTTCATAATGATTATACAATTTTTTTTTTGTTTTATTTATTTAAGCTTTGACAATTGAGGCCATTAGCTGTAGGTTGTGGTACTGTAGGGTTTTGGAACTGTAGGGATTTTTGGTACAGTAGGGTTATGGAACACGTGTGTGTATACAATTTTGTGTTACATACAACTTCCACGTTCCACGAGTTCCACGTTCCACCAACAAACACAGTTTGCATTTTAATGAGTATCTCTGAACTATGTAGACAAGTAAAAATTGTTATAATATATTTATACACTTTCCCAGGCATCGTAAAACTTAATAAAATATTATGAGACTACATAGTCATATGTATATATTACCAAGTTATAATATTCTCGAACCGTTTAATAATAGGTTTGGTGTTTGGGATACACCCGATTTATCTTTTGAAGAAACTAAAGGATCTTTAGAGCCCAGTATATCTATACCTAATTATTTACACAGATAACAACACATGAGTACATGACAATGGGTATTGTGGGTGTCTTTCGACCGTACGATATGTCATTTCAAATCGATACAAGCTGTAATTATATTAAATCTAAATGTAATGTTATTATTTCTTTTTCATATTTGATTAAAGGCTTCAATTACAAAGATTTATTTACAAACTAAAAGTATTTATACAATATTAGAAAAGAGAAAAAATATAAAATAAAGCATATGCTAAGTAATATTATTATTACCTTATAGTTTTTTAAAAATATTATTTTTGTAGTACAATAATAATATTAATAAAGTTGTCGATGTATTATGCATAGTATACAATACTCAAAGTAGGTGCTTCAGTTTAGTTCTTTCTCTCCAATTATAATTTTTTGGAACTTATGTAACTCGACGAGTTAAGAACGATTGCACAATCAGAATTTGTCACTCGGACTTCGTTCGCGAAGTTTAAGGATTTTGCAATTATGAGTTTACATTACTTATGCACACATCGATCTATTTAACTACCTACTACGTCTTACATGAATTTTTTTTTAAATTGTTTTTTTAAGCTGAATTTGATGGAGCAATCCGATTTTGGCCACCATACTTATTTTTAGGACGTATTAACAAAATTGAAAACATTTACATTTTTCTTCGTTTTTTGTGCAAAATGTGTGAATAAAAAAAACCACCTAACCGAGAGATCTGTAGAACATTGATCGAGTTTGACGACCGGAGCCAGTATATAATAATTAATATTATATATAGGTATACCTATTACCTAATAATATATAATAAATATTAGTGTTCAAATGGACACAACTTAAAACTATATGTTGACGAATGTGTGATGGATAGTTATAGTGAGAGATGTAGGCGAAAGTGCGAAGATACAAATAAAGAAAAGTCCAAGTGTGATTTTAGTGACAAAATTATTTTAAATGTACCTATGTATAGATATAAATTATTATACATAAGACATATCAGATTATCCCTCCGAGGTGCATCTCTAATTTTTCATTTACCAAATTTAAAGATACCTAATCATTATTAATTTTAATAACAACTAAATTTTATATTTGTATATTATATATTATTTAAATTAAGAATTCAGTTGTTGTATAATGTTTATGTTTTGTAAATAAATTCAAAATTATTAATTAAAAAATCTTACCATTGACTAACACAAACTACAAACTATGATTTATAAAACACAAAATAATGAACAATCAAAAATCCAGTTTTAGACTAAACAATTTTATTTTTAAATACTCAAATTTCAAATTTGATAATAATGATCTCCAACTTAATTTTGATAAACCCTCTTTTTTACACTTTAAAATTAATAATTACCATAATCTAGAATTTAATAAATTAATAATACATAAAAACTCTTGTACACTTGATTTTAATTTGCTCTGTGATTAAAAAAGCAAACTCAGTCAAGTATTTGAACCTGTATTTTGACGACCGTTTAAAGTGAAATATACATATCAATAAACTTATTAACTTAAAAAATTCTACTATGCATTTAGACCTTGGAGCAATAAACTCAAGACTTCAATAATCCCAATTGTTTCAAACAACTAATTATTGATACCATTGTAAATAAATTATTAACAGTTGCTTTAGTTTAAATTGTTTATAGTTGGAATTTATTCGATTAATAAATAATTATATTTTTACTAGATTCTATTAATTATTAATTTAATTGAAAGTATAAGAAACAATTAATATCATTTAAATGAGTTTATAATTATATTTATTAATTTTTTAACTTACCTATTGCTAGATAATTGTATTATATTATTGTTGATTACATTAAAATAAGTTATTAGGTATATTACTTTGTATAGGTATTCTTATTCATGTTCATATCTTTATACTTTAATATCATTAATAAATAAATAAATAACAAATTATGATTTGGTTTTACAGATTTTGATAACACCTAGGGTGATATAATGATAAAAGTAAATTTAAATACTATCCAGCCAATTTTATTTAAATTCAAAATTTGACCAGAAATGAAAACTTTAATATTGAATTTTAGATCACACCAGTCTTTTAAATTAACCTGCCTAAAAATAAATTTCCAAGATATAAATATTATTAAATTTTTGGAGAAACATATTACCTCAGAATTTTACTTAATAATTAAAAAGTCCAGCTAGATAGGCTAAACAAATTAAGCTATTACATTTTCATTTCCACTTTGAAGCTTTTGAAGTAAATGATAAAAAAACAGCAATATATTAATACAACAGACAACATTAATATACATAAATTTAATTGGCCGCCAATTAGTATTACGGACATTTCATCTGGAAAATTAATGGTCCAATTAAAAAAATGTTTGATATATAAAAATGTCCAAAATAGTTTTTAATAAAATATACCTATTGAATAAAAAAACAAAACTGCTACATTCTAATAATAACTAAAATACTTAATTAAAAATTTTCTTATATGTAAGTACAAATAAATAAATTGAAAATAATCTTAATAAATTAAAATACAAAATATAACTTGAAGTATAAAAGGTTTAGTAATGATTATCATCAGGTTTCAATCACAAAAACACAAAACCACTATCATGTAGCACAAATTAAAAATATATCATACCATATAGCATGGTGTCATGATTTATATTTTTACTTAGTACTATACCTGATGACTTTTTTAATCGAAACTGGTCATTATTACAAACCAATAATTGCTCATTCACTCAACTTGGCTGTATCAGCAGCTATTAGAATCAAACCAATAAGGAACTGTTTGGGCATACTTGAAAAGGCATTTACTTTTTTTCATACCTTTTTTTTGTAATATTATTGACTTGGTTTTGAAAAAATTTAAAATTTACATGTAGGTAGGTTGTGGGTACTTTAATAGTGATGACTGATGACATGATGTTTGCTTATTATTATAAATTATAAATTATTACATCATGATGTATAATTTTAATATAATTATGCATTTTATATTTGTACTATCAATATAGGTACTGTATTATATTTATTATATAAGCATTTGAACACACAGACCAATTAACCAAATGTAACTATTGAGATTTTAACAAATATAAAAATCTTACAAACCAAAATGTTTAATATATTATTATACTATAGAGCAGGGGTTACCAATTATTAATATTTTTGAAACTTCACGTATTAAAATTCGGGAAATTGTTCGTGATCCATCAATATTGCTGATGTTGGTAAAAACCAATGAACAAAAACAGTGGTGTAACCAGATGGGATGGGACCTTAGGGAAGTAAATAAATTAGCCCCCCCCCCTCAACTAGTAAGTTACCAGTATTAGTAGTACCTTAAACTAATATTATCTTAAGGAAAATTAAAAATATACACTTAGTATTGTGGAGCTTCAGGGTACTCCCTAACTTTGCCCTATGATAGCTATGCCACTGAACAAAATTGATAAATTATGACATTTACACTACTAAAACGTATGATTTGTTTTTGCTTTTTTTTCTTACCCACGGACCTTATAAAATTTATCCATGGCCCGACATTTGGTGACCCATGCTATATTATTATAGTAGAGATAAGCAACTCTAAGTTACTAAAAGACCAAATTTTAGAAATTCAAAACCTAGTGTGTAAGAACATAAACATAACATTTTTGATACAAAAATGGAAAATCGCCAAAAGTTGATATTTTCAACGGGTTATTTTTCCCAAAAGTTCATTCTTCAATATCTTTTGTAGATAAAAACGAATTTGTTTGCAACTCACATAATTCTAATTAAGGTGAAGCATCATGATTTTCAATTTCAACTGCCATAGAATTATTATACGAATTTATTATCTACGAACAACGTAATTCATAAATGCATACAGTTAAATGTTGATACTGTATGAAGTAATTTGGAAATCTAGCAATTGCCAAATAAAAAATGTCCGAGAGCAAAATGCCCATCCCTGCTATACAGTTTACACTAGTAATGTTTAAAGTCTACCACAAAGGCATAAACTAATATATAAGTATTAAAACTAGTATAGAACCTTTTTTTTATATAATTACCTATAGAATTTTATTACCTATTTAGGTTTGGATTTATAAATTTTTTCAAATTTTTTCCGTTAAATTTGTTCAACACGGTTAATTTAATGAAATCGGAGGTTATCAAAATTGACTTCGATATTCTATGGCTGATGACTAAGTCCGTGGATTTACAAAATAAATAATACTACCATTGAGTATAGATAGTATCTATACTCAATGATACTACATTGCTCATTATTAATGTTTATAATATCACAGTTTATAATTATATCTCTGAGTCTAATCATATAGAATATATTATCCGTGTAACTAATTCTTAATTTTTTTCTCAGCTGAACGCCTGAACATCACAATTTCACAGTTACAAAATACTTGAACATTTTTGTTTAGTTTTTCAATTTTTTTCCACTGTCATTTGAATACCAATCAATATTAATTTATAAACATTTGAAAGTACCTAAGAAAAACTCGAAAACTGTGTTTTCATTAAGGCATCCGGTAAAGTTATTATATAATTTTTAAAATGTTTAATTTTTATCACTCAAAATGAAAATAATCGATCTTTCAGTTTTCAATAATGTGGTTTTAATTTATACGTCAATAGAATTTCAATATCGGTACGGTACGACGGTACTTACTACTTACCTTTAACCTATATATACCTACCCGTTATTGTTATCAAAGTTAATTAAAAAAAATTGACTTAATTTTATATTATGTATCGTTCAAATATTAACTATTAAATATAATTAAACTTTTTATTTTTATTTTTAGTTCAATAAAAATGTCATTGATAATAAAAACTGCGACAAACATTTGGGAAATGGAAAAAGGATTTGATATTATTTTATTTATTGATAAAAACGATGTCTACAACAGAGACTACTGGAAGGACGAATGTTTTCGTCGCATTAATGACAAATATCCATTCCAAAAGTTGTAAATATTTTTAATATTAGTTAAATCGTTTTAAACACTATAATTAAAATAGGTAAATGACACATGTACAATTTACCTAAGGCCTATAGTTATATTGTATTATGTTTATTAAAACATGAATCATAATACATAGGTAGTACCTAATAACATCTATCATTTTTTTAACATAAACTATTTGATTATAAAAAATATAATTTGTAATTTATGTTATTTTAAATACTGAAAAAAAATGTCATCTATCCTGTTGCATAAGTGATAACTGTATTATACAGCTTGTATAATACTATATTAATAAATAATAACTACACAATATATAGTACCGTGTACGATTTATCTTTAATAACAATTATTGACACACTGGCACACACACAGTGACAGATGTATTGATTTTACAATATTTTTGTAAATCTTACAATGACATTTTCAAAAATCAATTTTTTCGGGAAAAATTAATTTAACCTACTATACTTATAGACTTTAGTACTATAATGCCCAATAGTGAAATTAATTACTTTAATTACAATAAAATCTTAATATAATATTACCTAGTAGACAGTAGTTTAGTGCTTGGTAGGTAGGTACTATAATAACTATAAGCTGATAGATCATCTTCGCTCAGAATTGTTTTCGTACCTATAATAAAGGCAGGTTCAATGATTTTAAATAATTGAATTTAAATTTAACACATCAATTCAGTGACTTCTCTAGATACCTAGAGCAGAGCATTACCTAGCATTACTGAGGACCCGCAGACCCCGTGTTTAGGGGGGGGCATGGTAATTCAGGGTCTTGGGTTAAAGCAAATTTAATTCCTTAGAAAAAAAATTGAATAATTGCTTTTTTCAAATTAAAAGTATAAATTAATTTTTTTTATTATTAAAGGAAAAGCATCTATAGCGTCACCATAGGCTTGTTTTTTACATGATAATATGTTCTTAAATAATTAATCATACGTACTATGTTCGTAATCGTATAGTAATGTTTAATAATAATCTTATCTTGTGGAAATACGTACAATAACAATATTAACGATAAATAAGCGTTTTATTACTCTATGTCTCCAGTCTACAAAGATATGTAATGTGACAGTACGTGACAAGAGTATAGATTGTTAAGCGCATATTATTTTACCATTGATTATAATATTATATAGCAGTTCTATAGCGATATTAGTATAATTATTACCATTTATTTTGTATATTATGTATTTAAATACATTTTTGTACATTACATAGTTTAAAAAATATATACTTTAAAATAAATTTACAAGACATTAATATATAGAAACCATTCGAAAAATCGAGAGAACTACTTAATAATTCATTATTTTATTATGTAACTTAGATAATTTGAGAAATCAGTTTAATGAAATAAAATCAGAAGCAATTTAGATTGCAGAAAAGTAGAGCATAAATACATTTTTTTCGAAAAAAAAGGAACTGACAATCAAAAAAATTTGTAGAAGAATTTTATACTGACCAACGATTAACTGATCATGAAAACTATTTCAAAATCAATGTATTTTATACAAAATATGTAGACATTATTCGTATTAGGTTTTATATGGGTATGAATAATATTGTGAATAAGTTTAAATTTATTTTTCCCAAAAATTTAGTATTATATTCAGACACAGAACTGACCAATTTTGCTAAAACTTTAGGTGAACAGTATTCAAATGATTTGTCTTTATCATTTGTACAGCAAATACTTTCATTCGGAACTTCAGAAGGGTGCTTTTTGAAAATATAAAATACTTTTTCAAGAGTCAAAGAATTAGCTGAATTGTTGATTTTAAAATAATACCATGTTACTAAGTGTTCTAGAAGTAGAACTCCTGTTTTAAAATTATTTCTTTCTATACCAGTAACATCAGCTGCAGCAGAACGTTCGTTCTCTAAATTAAAACTAATTTAGAATTATTTAAGGATTAGTATGGCATAACATCGTTTATCAGATTTAAGTGTATTGAGTATTGAAAACGAGAGAATGCGAAGTTTAGATATAAATATGTCAATTGATAAGTTTTCAAAGTAAAATTTTGTAATTTATATGTTAAGTAATATTGTGTATTATTATTATTGTGTAATATACTAATATTAAGTAAACATTGAGCTTTATTAGTTGTTACTTAAAGCTATATAAATAAAAAATATAAAAAAGTAGGTAACATTGTTATTTTTCATTATTTATCACATCATTACAAAATTGTAATTAAAATAAGTTATTTACCCATGTAAGATTCATGTTTTTAAACTATTGTATCTAAGCAATATTTTAGGTGGCCACTTTTTATTTTTGAGGGGGGCCCACATATTTGTGTTACGCCACACGTATTTACGCCCAGCGTTTATGGTTAGTCTTAAGTAAAATTAAATCATTAATGTACACATTTTATTTTCTGTGTTCGGCTCTGCAGGTTCAAGACGAGTATTATAAACGTGTCGGGAAAATCGTGCGCGCTCGTGTATTCGGTGTACGGCGAGTCGATATGCTGTTTGTTGCTCAACTGGCAGCGACATCAGCGGAAAAACGAAACCAACAACTCAAAACACAGCTACAGCAAGGAGAGGAAGAAAAAAAGAGCCGACAGCACTGCGTCCGACGTCGAATGCGGACTGCGGACAATCAGGGACCGATTGGTCGGATACCGGTATTTGGCGGTGCAGCGCCGAGCGCGGCCGGTCGCGTACGATTTCGAACTCATTTTCCGGACGGTTTTCCGCGGAGGCAGTGGCGAATTGTGGCTGTGCGGCCAGCGGAGGCATTTTCCGTCGCCCCGTGAACGCGTTAGGTTAGGATTAACCTACAAGCGCCGCTTCAAGGGTAGTATTTGCTTCATCGTTATCGTGCGACTTTTCATTATCGCACAGCGAATTATACTGCAGTGCTGTTTCTTAAGCGGGTTTACAAATTATGATTTTCAAATCTTCCCCAAAGACATATTATGCAGGGTTATAAAATATTTTAATTTTTCACGTCATTTTAGTTTTAAAACGTCCCTTGAAACATTCGATTTTAATTTTTTTTTCTACGAATCGTTAACAACGGATCTTTTCTAAAACATTTTGTGTTTCGAAATCTGCAATATTCGAATTATTACAATGAATAATGATTACCGGGCTTTCAATATTCTAGTATATGTGTATGACCGATAACCGGATATCCGAGTGTCTGAATCAACTATTAGGTTTATTCGGATTATCCTCAGTACCTACGTATAAAGTAAAATATTTAACTATCTATAACTAGGTACTATTTCAAATATTGATTTCTGTTAATTTAAATTAAAAAAAAATAAAATAAAAACCATTAGTTCAACAGCAAACACACACGAACATGTATGTTATGAGAATAATATACTTAGATAATAATACGTATAATCATTTAATTGGTACAGTTATTATAATGATAACATAGTATATATATTTTAGATGTTTTAATCTAAATTAAAAAAAATTGAGAGTGTCTGCAGCCACTACCTACTATAGTGTATACACAGATAAAATTACTACCGAACCTTTTACGGAACTAAAATTAAAAAGGTCAAAGTTTTTAAGCAATAATAATTTTATTGCTGTTGACGTGAAACATAATATACACAACAATCTGTTAAAAATATTAAAAAACATAGATATTGATCTAATTAAAGTCGCATGCGACATCATTATATACGAATTCGTTTATATTATTTGTTTTATTATTACGAGTAATGACTAATATTATTTTTACTTATTTTTAATTGTATAATATTATAGTTATCACTAAAAATAACGCCATCGATCGCAAATCGTCGAATAAAATAATATTACCAGTTGTGACGACGTTTACCCCGAAATCGGCATCAGCGATACCGGCGATAACAAACACCATCGAACTGCTGCTATCCGACAACGATTACGAGAAGACGAGTAAGCTCACAATAAATTTATCGTTTTATGTCGGTGACCGGTGTACCAAATATATATGACTTTTCAAAGCTTATGTCACAGTGTATTTTTTTTATTTGAATTATTGAACACTTGTAAGTGATTTAAAATCCCATTGATTGTACTTACAAAATTCACTTTTTTTGATTATTTGAATAATATTATATAATTATGTTATAGCTATGCAACAACCAAATATACCAGTAATTAAAACGATACCTGAAAATGTTTGGGAATTAGACACAGACGTTGACATCATTTTATTTATCGACATGGACCTCGTGTACACGGACGATTGGAAAGACGAAGTGGTGGAACATGTCAACGATCGTTATCCTTTCAAAGATAGGTATTAAATAAAATATTAATTAACTGTTGATGATTTAACCCAGATATTATCCTACCTATAGATAGTGAAGTCTGCTTCGTGTTTTTTTTTAATGAAGCGTTTTATGATAGTATATAAATGTACCTAAATACGCAATGAGTTCTATGTTATTGTTCTCATTGTTGAATACGACAACGCTTTGATATGTCGACATATTTTTAAAATATTATTTTTTAGGATTCAATATCGACTGTTTTTAAGGGGTTCAATATAGGCAATTTTAGAAGACTTATGTGTGCTTGTGTTAATTTGTGCCTAGTAATATTTTGATCATTTAAAACATTACCTTTATTGTAAGATTGCAGGCAAAAATAATAACGTTGTGCTCTCACACGTGCACGTATACATACTAATGATTATGAATAAAGTACTTTTTTTTTTTTTATATTTGATTAAAGGCTTCAATTACAAAGATTATTAGCCTAGTGTTATTTACAAATTAAAAGTATTTATATAATATTAGGAAAGAGAAAAAATACATATACTGTAATATTATATACAGAAATATTATAATTTATCATCTAAGCTAATTAGTTTAAAAAAATTGAAAATATTGTCGATGTTGGTTTAATTGAGGGCTTCTTCGAAGTTCGAGTGATGTAGCATTTTTGAGGAGGTGACGTGCAGATGCGAATTTGGGGCAGTTGATGATAGTACTTATTTTGTACTATTTAAAAAAAAAGAATCAATATTTTACCAATATTATTTTATTTACTAATCTATTTATCCGATAACATTTTGGAATTTGACTTTAAAAAACTTTTTTACATTTTTTAATTCATTTTTTTGTTAAAATGTTTTTAGTTAATTTTTATTCAATATTTAAAAATCTCATTTTCAAAGGGTTAAAAGTTCAATATAAAAAAAAGTTTGAAAGTTGTTTTCAAGCTAACTTTGTAAGTCGTGACAAAATCAAATATGTTTTTAGAAGTGTTATTCGATTATTTAATAGGCTAAATAGTACGGTTGTCATGACTCATGATAGAATCTTCTTATAGTAATCCCCTATAATACTTATATATACCTACCTATTTGGGAAATATTTTTCGATATTTAACTAGTATCTACTAAAACTACTAAAATATTGTATTATTATTGTTGTCTGATAATGGCTAAGAACTTCTCGGAATCAATAAATTTAAATGACGTACATTTCTTGAAAAAAACCACTTAAAACCCGTGCGATGAAAATTTCGTTTTAAACTTGAAACAAATATTTTATATTTGTAATTATAATGATATTGTAGTGAAATCATTATGATGATCGGTAATTAGTAATTACTCGCATTCGACTGCAGGTTTCAATACATGCAATAAAATTATTATTTTGGTCACGTCTTGTTGTTTGTTGCAGGTTGTTGGAAGACATACAGATCATGCCAATGGGCTCAGGCACCGTACAAATATATCGGCAAAACGGGGTGTCGATATTTTGCATATTCTTTAGCAACCGCATGACCACCCTCAGCGACTGGATGGAAGACGCGCTGATCGACATGAAAAGATTCTTAGCGGGTCACATACAGCTGGCCATCCAACAGGACCTGTCCCTCTCAGAGTTTCAATCGAGTGTTTACAGTAATCTGTTTAATTTTTTCCAATCGGTGTTCACATATGATAAAGTTGTGATTTGGTTTTGTGGCAGTGGTGATGTATAGTGCTCGTGAGTGGGAAAAGAGGGGGGGAATCAATATATAGGTATAGTATATTTTGTGAATTTCAAATGTATCTTTAACAGTTATAGATTCCAATATTTGAATCATTTTTTTTATTTATTATTTTGTATAACGAACAGAATTTTTAATGTTTTTGCCTGATTGAGTGTCTTTTAAGTTTGCCTGTATAAATATATTGAGCTATAATCTATAGGTGCCATTTTTAGCATTGTTTACCTGCTGTAATATAAGTACTCCCATCTGAAATCTTTCTGTACGAATTAAATGTAAATCCATTTTTTATAATATTTTACCTGTAAAAATTTGTTGATAATTAAAATGAAAATATATACATTTTGTTGAAAATATTATGCATAACAGAATACATTTTAGCGATCTAAAAGGAATAGCCAGTCTGATAGATATTATATTAAAATAAGTCGTAGGCGTAGCAGTCACAAATATTTGTATTTTGATAACTGTGTACAATGTTCGTGACAACAACGTAATAAAAACGTAACATCACAAATTCACAATATAAAACATGTGACAAGAATTACTTTATTAAATTACTAGCTATTAACTTATAACTCATAAGTCAATACCATCCTCCGACTATCGTACCGTGGAATGGTGTATAGTACTATAGTGTGTAAGTAAGTTCATTTTTATAAAACAATATTTTTATAAAATTATCCTGATTCAGAATATGAAATTAAAAATGTAAGTTGTCTTTCTAAAAGTAATAAACTTACAAACAATTTCTATAAAAATATAGTTTTTTTTTCAAAAATGTGTGTATACCTACCTACGTAATAATAATGAATTTGTATTATGTGAACAAATATATTTTGTTAACACTTTTTGCAATACATACTAGCTACTGACTACTGAGACGTCAAGACAATAATAATATGACTTCACGGGTTAACAAAAATTATTACTATTCAGCATTCAGTATTCACCCTGTACATAATATTATAACTAGGGACTAGAGTAGAGGACTTGTAACATTTGCATATTTTTTTTACACAGTCACAAAAATAGCAGAGTCCGAAACAAATACGTTTCATGCTTCCACAAACATAGTTTTGAAATATTATTGTGCATATAAATGCATATTTTTTTCGGGGGCGGATTTTTGGATCATATTTCTTCCATTTGATTCTTTTAGATGCATATTTTGAATAATTTTATAAAATAACGTCGAATTTTCCAGATGCATATTTTTCCTAGAAACACGTCTCGAGAGTGGCCGATTAGATTGATTGTCGGGTTATTAATTTTAAATATAAACCGATAAGATAATATTGTTCAATGCACAAAATATTATCGATTCGGGGACACCTAGCTGTCGTCGACATCGGTCATCGGACATATTCCAGTAATCGCTGTGTTTCAGTTGACCGTCAACCATAAGTCCGAACTCGTTCTATTTACTATTTATTATACAAAATGCTTAAAGTTAAAGTGTCTTTATCTTCACAATTAAACAATCATGCGTCTGAATTCAGTCTTGAAGTGTTCTCAATAGACAGTAAAATACTTTATTGTAAAATGTGTGATATCAAGTGTAGAAGTTGCAAAAAAATGTAATGTTACACAACGTTTGACTACAGAAAAACATCTGAAATGAGTTGCCCAGAGAGAAAAAATTGTAAATATAAAAAAAATGTTTAATAGCATTTTCTAACTGATACCAAAAATCGTGCTTCAATAAAGATTTGTGTTCCGCGTTGTTATCGGCCAATATACCGTTGAATAAATTAAATAATGATTATAATTATAATTTAATTATTATACTTTAATAATTATACTTATAATTTGTAATATATAGGTATGAAAACATTAAACAAGCATTTATTTAGTAATAATATTTTGTTTATTTACATACACTTTTTTTAAAAATAGTTTTGCAAGTTTTTGATAGATAATTTCAAACTCAGCAGGTATGAATTGTTCCTAGAAGTAAAATTCTAAAATCTATCGATCATGATATATAGAAATATATCTATACATGAATAAAAATGAATCCCTATATTTCTCTCGGTCAAGCCATCACGCTTATCGCTTATCATTTAAAACATATCCATCTATGATATGAAATGGTTCGTTTATCATTTCTTAGTGTACATTTCACAGTCAATTTAATTGGAAAATTAATGAAAAAAAATTGCTCCATCTTGCAAATAATTTTTAAAATGTCCATTTCAGCTTCTGCAGAATACTGAACACAATTTTATCCCAAATGTATACTGTTTACAATTGCTGTGTTTATCATTGCGTTACTACAGATACCCAAATTTATGCCTGGAATTAATAAGTGTTTACCTGTATCTAATAATGTTATCATGAAAAACATTATAATATTTCTTTCATTATTTCGTAGGTAAGCTATATGGACGGTGCGTCGTTGCATACTATGAAATGTATAAGTAGTCATTTCCTAGATTGTTAATTTAGGTAGGTATACTTGAATAAAATGTAATGTTTTCAAGTGTTGTGCCTAGTACCCTCACGGTTGTCCAAATTTGTTTAGGTGAATATTAAGTAATATATAGTTGGTACTTAAATGTCCTAAATAAGTATACTTATTACTTACAATTAATACATTTAAAAAAGGCGGGCAAGTGGGTCACTTCTGTAATTTATGTATTAAGTTGGAATTCGATGATATAAAATCATTATATAAGCAAAACGATTCTGAGCAAAGACATACTGTCAACCTATACTTGGTAGTTGGTACTATAAGTATATTTGATGATATTTTTGCAATTAAAGTAATTCATATTACTGTTAGTAATACAGTTAATAGTACGTTGAATTGATTTTCGATAAAATCATGAAGTATTATCTGGAGACCGGTGAAGAAATCAGATCAAAATTGAGTGGCCCTATCGTGAATGATTCTATTCCATTCAATTTTGATGGTTATGATGATTATTAAAATCTATTATTCGAAGTTACAATTTATAGATATGGGTATCTCAAAGAAAAATCATTTAACTTAGGGTGACCATACTTCCTGTTTTATTCAGGATTCTCCTTTATTTCGGCTTTGTGTCCTCAGTCCTGTTGTCCTTGCATACTTCTCTTAGGACGCTTTTTGTCCCGTAATTTCAAGTCCATCTCATATTAATCACGTGTTTTGCCTTACTATTCATTTGTATATTATAATCGTAAAACCACATTTTAAAGATATGTTATGTATTGAATTTCATACATTCTTTTAGAACATCCTAAATTGTTAAACTTAAGGAGTTCTTCAGAAAAATATAAACATCAAATAGTGAAGAAATGTCAGAACAAACGTCATCAAAATGAATTAACAAGTTTTCTTAAAAAAGAAAAGTATACACGAATAAAGGATTTGAGGAAATTTTAAAAAGTATTAATTTAATTATGTTATTTTATGTTTTTCAAAATAATGTTTTTATGTGTTTAATTTTAATATTAATAGTTTAAAAATTATATTTTTTCATGATTAAAAATCAACAAAAAAAATGCAATAAATACTTATTAATTTAAAAATATTGGGGATAATGTTTTTGTGCTGTATTTTATTTTTTTAAGTATGGTCACCCTATTCTACCATATTAACCATTTAACCATTTTATATATTTGTATTTCTCTGTTATCTTGGCCTGGCAACCTAGGTCTATTTCTCAGGTAAAATCATGGATCTCTAAACGACCGAAAACCAAATGAAATTATTCATGTTATTTCCTGCTAATGAAGATACATAAAGCTGATATACTACAATTTTACTATTAAAAGTTAATAAATTACGAATATAATCATTTATGTATAAAGTAGGGCGTTTTTGTAACATTTACACGATACTTTATAATATGTATAAATACATCTATGTATTTGGATATCTTTACACATATTTTGAGAGCCACTTCAACTGCTGCAGTGTGCCTATACCTAAATGTATAAGACGTAGTTATGTGCTTGCTGCACTAATCGAATAATATTGTGAATGTATTACGTAACTCGACTTTCTCGATTCCTACTTATGTATTATTATAATAATGTACCTATATACTGGCTTTTATCATTATCACGATAAAAGTCGAAATCCCCGTGACCCGCACTCCACTCCCACCACTTCAAGCTCAAATATAATATTGTACAGTTTATATTATAATAAAGATACACATTACCCATGCGGCCATACGTCCTGTTATATAGGTACCTACAACCGCCTGAAGTGTACAACAATTTAGTCATCACTTGTACGTAGATAGCACTACGGCCATTCGTTTTTTATCGAGTGATAGTACCTACTTTCTATTTTTCTTTATTAGCGCTGAGGCGTTGAACATAACCATATATAATAGTATTATTGTAACTCTCGTTATAATACGTTATAGAACTTGATAAAAATTATATTTTTCAATACATATTATAAAAAGAGTCTATTCTCTACATTTCCGGAAGCCACGTTATGACGACGTATAAATTGACGTACTTCAACCTAACGGCTAGAGGAGAACAAATCCGATTCCTTTTATCGTATCTAAACGTCGATTTTGAAGACGTTCGATTCAAACCCGAACAATGGCCAGAGATAAAACCTAGTAAGTAATATTAATATAATAATATAGATAGCCGAGTTAACTGGAAGCCAAGCAAAACATTGTTAGGTTTTAAAACTTGGCAGAAAGTTTCATATTGGGGAGCCAAAAAAAATGTTATCCCTCTGGGGTATACAATATGTCCTATATATAGGACATATTATATATATTTATAGTATATATATATATAGTCTATACTCTTGGACTAATAAGTAAATACACAATATTGTATAAAATATAAATATAGGTATATTATGTAATTGGAATAGGTATAGTTTTACGGTATTTATAATGCTGGGCAATTGTTTTTAATTTGTTAGCAATGCCGTTCGGTAAAGTGCCGGTGTTAGAAATCGACGGAAAAACAGTTAATCAGTCCATAGCTATTAGTCGATATTTGGCGAAAAAAGCCGGCTTGGCTGGTAACGACGAATGGGAATCGCTATTGATCGACGTTGCAGTCGATAACATTTATGAGATAAGACAAGGTTAGTATAATATTATTATTACAATCATATTTTTAAATCAAAACAGTTTTATCATTTTAAAATCATTTATTATTTATTATTAACTGCACGCCGTACCTATCATAAATCATTAATACATATTAATTAACAGACTTACTATAGATATGTAATAGGTAACTTTTGTTCTTAACGATATTTAGTTTTTTATACATAATATAAAAATAATCACTAATTAGCTATATCATATATATTTCAGTATTATTAGACTATTATCAGACTGCAGTTCTTACTGTAACACAAGGTAATATTACACACCTGTATACGTATTATGTATACATTCTACAATACTAGACACACCGTACCATACCACAGTGTACCAGCTATAATATTCATACAACCTGCAACTAGAGCTGTAATTTATTTGAATGCATTCATAGATCTTAGGTCTCCACACTTTTTTCGCTAGGTATCTGCAATTTCAAATTTGTATTAAAAGAATTAAGTTTGATCAAAAATTGTTTTGCATTACTACGTAATACCTATATATATATATATAGTATAATATATTATAATTCTATTTAACATAGTTTAAAATATTGATTGAGCGTTTGAGTATTTACAAACTGTATTTTTGTTATTTTTACCTGTATTTTGAGATTTTTATAGAATATAATATTATATGAACGCTTATATTATATTTTTCAAATAATTATCATAGCAAAATCATCCTTAAATAAACAAGGAAGTATTTATAAAGTGCTTCTGGTTTTTTTTAGTCAGTGCATGTTGGAGTGAGGCTAGGTTAATAAAAAATATTTTCTGTGCTTCTGTGTATTTTGTAATTGGTAGTAAGGCTTCCATCCCAAATTTCGAGTGTTTATTCTAGGTTTATGGTGATAATTGATGAATAATAAGGAAGGAATTTTAAGCCATTAAAATATTAAATAAAAAACAAAGTGATTGGTAAGCCTTTGTCATACTAATAAGTTGATTCTAGTTATTTGGTGACGAATAAAGGCCGAATTAAATTTATAGTGTGACTTGTTTAATATATCATAAATCAAATTTGATTAAATATATCATTCTGAAATATATATTATGTATGTCCAGTACATAATTTTTTGAGATTTTGTGTGTTTTATGTGTTTGAGTGAACGAAATATTTTCTTTCTTTATTTTATAATATAAAAATGCTATAAATTACATTTATACGTAACGAGTTCGATATGAGTAGATAATCTGAGGTCTAAATTTGATGAGGTAGAACTGGTTTAAATGTGTGTTGTCTATTCTCATTAGGGTGATTATTATACGTCTTATCCGATTCTTTTTATAATTGCTATAATAATGGTTTTATATATTTGTATATATTTATAAGTGGTAGGTACTTTATTCCAATTTTTTTGAATTATTATTTTTTTCAAGTATAATTAATATTGTATTATTTTTTTAAAGAAATCATGAAGTATTATCACGAAAAAAATGAGGAAATCAAATCAAAATTACGTGGCCCTATCGTGAATGATTCAATTCCATTTTATTTTGATAAATTTGAAAAGATCGTTTCTGAAAACGGTGGTTACTTTGTAAATGGAAAGGTATGTACTATGCTACTATGTATATTGTATATAATATATACCTATCATATTAAGCATTCATATTTTAACCATCCCGACTCTTTGATTATTAATATTTATTATTCAACGTTATATTATTTTATAAGTAATTATCTATACGACTAGACCACAAATCAAGACTAGTAGTCCAGATTTCTCCGCCACAACATTTTTTTAAAGTAAAACAATTTTAGCTGCTAATATATGGTTTATTCAATATATTGTATTAAGAATAAATTTATATTTTCGTTAAAGCAGTAAAAGCGAAAATAAAAAGTTTTTATATTTTGAATGTGAAAATTATGAATGCCACAATATCTACATTAAAAAAATGTTGGACCTTCCACTCAAAATTTTTTTAGGTATTGAATTGCCTCAAATAAAAATTATTTTATCATATTTACCATTGAATCATTTAAATGAGAAATTAGGATATTAATAGTATAGCTATAATGCTATATAGATATTGTATTATTATTGTAGGTCCTATTAGTTAATTAGTAATTAAACCAATTATTGCAACAATAATTCACATTGAAATAATAGTTCCTACATAACCACATATTAAGTTTTAATACTGTTTTATGTTTCACAGTTATCTTGGCCTGATTTATATTTTGTGTCTATTTTGGATCACATAAAATCAGTAATCGATGTCGACCTGGTTGATGGCCGTCCACATCTCAAAGCTCTTAAACACAAAGTCTTGGAAATTCCTCAAATAAAATCATGGATTGCTAGACGACCGAAAAGTCAATGAAAATATCCGTAATATTATTTCCTGTAAACGAAGATACTTAGATGCATATAAATTGTATTAAAATCAAATTAATTAATTGTGAATACATTATTATGCGTATATTTTGGAAAATATAATACATAAATAAGTAATAATATTTACTGTAACAATAAGCAGCAAGATTTACAACAAATATTTGAATGTATTAAGTACATCATTCAAAAAAATTATTCACTAATTAATTTACAGTAAAATAGAGGGATTTTCAGTTGAAAACAGAAGTTTGTATCACCACTGGACACTCTTTAAGTAGTACAAAAAAATCAAGAATTTGAAAATATGGTCTGTAAGTATAATTAAAAATTCCAAAAATCAGAATTTGAATACATTTATTCTTCAAGAAAAAAAGGGAGGGCATGCTTGGTGAATCACCCTGAATACAAACATATATTTTTTTTTAAGTGAGTCAAATTTGAGGATCCAATCAATTGCTGACCCCGCCTGTAGTGTAACCTGACGCTGAACTAGCATATACTAACCTTTCAGAAATAAAGTTGAAGATCGTTGCATTGTACACCATACAAATTACAGACACAAAAAACGAACATCATTGTAAAATACTAAAATTAATACACTTGCTCAAAATCCAAAAGTATCAACTTTTAAATGAGCAGTGACAAAAATACTCACATAATCAAATTTCAAGATACACATTTATGAAAACAATATGTTATAAAAACAAATGTAGTAGGTACCTAACAATATTAAATAAAACACAATTTAGAGACTTATAAAATATAGTATATTGAAATTATTAATTTTAAATTCTTATTTGGTTATACTTTTCTATGATTATTTTAGGTTTTATCGCAGTTTACCCAGTGCTTATTTTAAATTATTTATGTTTCCATAAAATACCTATTGGCCTGGAAAATTACTAATAATTAATAAGTAAAGAATTGTAATTAGTAATAACTAATGAGTAATGATATTAAAATGATGATAATATATAGATGCGTGAATGAGTGTGTGCGTATATGTGTATTGGAATACAGCGCCATCTATTTAAGTATATTATGTATTTTTAATGGATTTTCAGTGTGTTACCAATAAAAATATTTTAGTCTCAGGAAAATAACATAATGGGTTCACATTTGTACGAAATTCATACAGAAAAAAAATATTCAATATAAATATATAAATTCTACAACTGCTCCGTAATAAGATTTATAATTTAAATTTAGGTGGGTACCTACTACCTAGGTATAATAGTAGGCAAGTTGCGGTTATACATAAAGACATAATAAGGTAGGAACCTATGACTACCGCGGAGACAATTATTACTTTTTTTTTCCGTGTATATTACAATAGTTATAGTATAGCTACTGTCGTAGCCCGTAGGTATATTGACATGTTGTTGACAGTCTACAATATTATTTTAATATAAATTTGTAGTAAAGATGTAGAAAATAGAAATATATTTTAGGGATTTGATATTTGCTGACAATTAAATAATATATCCATGTAGGGCCAATGGAGCGAAAAGCGCTGAAACAACATTATTTATATTTTTTACTACCTACCTAATTACCTAACATTGCCACTCGGTGCAACAGCGTATAAGTGTGACGGTCGTACGCGAGTGAATAAGCTATATATATTTTTTTATTTTATGTTTGATTTTAAACCAACTTAAGTGTTTTTGAACAAAAACTGTATTGGAATTTTTTTAAATTTTTTGAAGTTCAACCTTTACGAACTTACACCACCGTTGTAATAATATAGTTATGGTGATAAGGACATACTAAGGTAGGTATAATAATTAATAGTACCTCAACATAAGTTAACAGAGTTGATTAAATTAAATTTTAGTTTTTAGTCAATTAGCTTAGTCCTTACAGTGTACTAGAGTAAAGCGTAAATATTAGAACCTGAGCTAAGAAGGAAATCGGAATGTATATAGCTCGAGAATACAGATTATGATCAAAATAATTCAAAATATTATTAACGTAAAGAAATAGAAAAAATCAACTATATTATATTATGCTTCGACAAAAAAATAGTAGGTATAAAACGTAAAATTTAAACAAATTAACCATCCTACATAGTGTAACAATGGTGTACACAATAATTATTATTAACAATAAAAAGGAAGTTGAAAACAAATTTATACCTACGAATTAATTTAAGCCCGTTATAAATATAAATTTCGGCAATTCTTACTCAGCTACAATAACCGAACAAACTTAGCATAGAATAATATTATTCTGAGCATAATATAAATATTTTTTCATTATCAAATAATGTAGCTACTGTGTTAGTCAATGTTTCACGAAGTCAAAAAGAATCACATTAAAATTTTAATTAAATTTAAAAGTGTATAAGACAATAATGAGAATTAATAGATGAAGAAAAAAATATTAGGGAATTAGCTTACTTTCCAAATAATGACCAATAGTTTTTTAATATAACAAAAAAAAAATGTTATGAAAACCTACTTACAATAACATTGAAAAATACTAAAACACTTTTTCATTAAAAATAAAATAACCACATTAGCTTACCTATAGAAATTACGCTGGATTAGATAAAAATAAATGGGATGTTTACAATAAAGATTATAATAATATGTTCATTACCAGAAAAAAAAAAATACACAGATTGAATTCTATCATAAAAAAATTCTCTGACAACAATTTTAATAATATCAAATCAACAATCCCATAGGTACCTACTCAAATTTTTGCCAAGATTGCAAATATTTATCTACATACCGAAACGAATTAGACGAATGCGAGAACACATAATCGTTTTGGAGTGAAAGTGGGAATGATTTTAAGATTTAAGTTTTAAAGATTTTAGAGTAATACTTTTAGTAATATCATTTTAAATTAATAAGTTATTATTTTGCTTAATGTATTATTGAAAAAAAAACACATTCATTTCATATTCAATAGTTCACTGGATCCTATCTAAAAACAAAATATTTTCTCTTTTTTTCTTTTTTTGTCTTTTGTACATATTAGGTATATTATAATACCAATCAACAATAGAAATTAACATAATTTACATTATACTTAAAAATTTTTTTTTGATATTTAACTGTGCTTAAAATATGTCGTGAAAAATCTTTTCATGCTTATAATTTTGTAGCATAATATAATATATTACACATTTATAACCAAGCTTTCAATAATATTATAACGTTATGATTATATTGTTATATTTGACAAAAAATAAAGTAAAATAAAAATGAAATTTGTAAACATTATTATAGAGGAAAGCACTAAACAAAAATAATTAAAAACCACAAAACAAAACATAACGATTAACAAATTATATAATATATTTTAAAACAAAAAATAACGTAAAACGAAATTATTTAAAATCATCCATTCATTTAAAAGATATTAATATATTGATTTCGTAGAAATATTTATTTATTTTGTCTTCCCAAACAATCTAAGAATTTATTATTTATTCTATACCTAGACCATTTCCATACGACCATGCCATATAGCTTATTATATAGTATAGTTTTTAATGCGAAAGTAGTACCCATACCGTTGTCGGTTCAAACACATCAAAAATGAAAAAAAGTTATCATTTTTCAATTTAATTGGTAATTGTATTGCCAAAAGCGAATACCTTTTAAATTAATAATTATTATTATTGAGTGCGCTCTGATAATTGGGCTGTAGAAGTAAAGACTTTATTGTGTTCCAACTGTTCATAATTATAAATCATAATCGACATAATCGTATAAATACATAATACATTCTGTACCAACTTCTTTAATACTTGAGAAGTTACATAAAATATCTGGGTGTTATAAGTAGGTAAATAACAATTAAATAATAATAAAATAATACATTTTAATTTGCATTTTTCTGCTAACTTGCAAATTATGTTGAAAAAAACTAAGTACCTAATAAATTACTTATTAGATTATTAGAAAATGTTGGCCATTGAGTAAAATAACGTTCACAATTTTAAATCTATTATAACGATACAAGTAACAATTTTTTTTGTTTGTAAAAAGTGTATAACTATTTAACATTAATGCACATTATGTTTACATATTATGGTGTATTTCTTGTAAATGTTTAATAATCATTCATTTTCTTCCAGTTTCTATGCAATTAAATAAAAAAATATACATAAATAAAAATGTAATTTAGCTCAAAATTAGCCGATCACTACAGGGAAATCAGCAAAAACTACTGGAAGTTTGGAAACATAATCAAAATATTATATTTATAGGTAAAAAGCATAACCTAAAATATCGTTGTATTACTAGTACATAGTATACAGGATGTTTCTGAAGTGTGTGAGGTAATTAATATACGCATACTCACTGTGATGCCACAAAGAAGATTTTTTTGGAATTTTTTTCTAACTTCAAAATCTGGATTTTTTAAAGTTATTTTTAGAATAATATTATCTTGAATGTAAAAATAAACACTCTAGTCGTATTTTTTGCAAAATTTTCATACAAATCGAGATATCGCATTATTTTTGCGCTTGTCGCGCGTTTTTCGTGCCCGAATCACCAACTAAAAAAAAAGTCGTGTGACACATCGATTTGTATGAGAATACTGCAAGATAACCAGTGGTGATAATTATTTGTTGTCATTGATAATACAGGATTAATTAACACTCTTTTTTACATTGTCGACTAATAAAAAATATGAAATAATAACAAAATTAGGGTTAACAGAGTTTTACACGATCAAATTTACTAGCACACATTTGTGTCATACCTTTATTAAATAACTTTTAACTTTATAAAGTTATATTAGTTAGACATAAAAGGAACTACCTATTTGTGTGTTTATACTGAAATTCCAGTTTTTGGATATCATAGTACCTAACATAATTATTTTGACTCGATAAGATAAACATTTTATTTTATACTATTATTATTATTTACGTTCTGCCCATAACCTAGCTGCAAGATTTCCATTTCCATCAGCCAAACCTAGGCACAATTAATAAACAAATAAATAGTTTATTTCTTATAACATGTCGGTTACGACAACTTAAAATAGTTACACGGGTATGTTTTGTGATAAAGTAAAATACCTAGAGTTTTTAATAAAATAAATCACCAATAGGTGATATTAGTTAAATACATTAATTAAATTAACTAGTACTTACCCAACTTAAAAACCATGTCTGCATATTCAATGTGTGTGTACCTTGCGCAAAAATCAAAATTTAAATTAAAAACTTTAATTCTTAAAAATAAATATTAATATTTTAAATGTCGTCCAATTAAAAGTATTTGACTAAGCTCTAATCAGACCAACTAATGTTCATCATGTACTCCGTAAGGAGTACGGTCAATTCAATATTAACGATAAAAGTATAATATAAGGTTCACTAATAAATATTAATAATAGTATAAAATAAAATGTTTATTTTATCGAATTGAAATAATTATGTTAGGTACTATGATATCCAAAAACTGGAATTTGATCGTTTAAAACTCTGTTAACCCTAATTTTGTTATTATTTCATATTGTTTATTAGTCGACAATGTAAAACAATGTGTTAATTAATCGTGTATTATCAATGACAACAAGTAATTATCACCACTGGTTATCTTACAGTATTCTCATACAAATCGATGTGTCGCACGACTTTTTTTTTAGTTGGTTATTCGAGCGCGAAAAACGCGCGACAAGCGCAAAAATGATGCGATATCTCGATTCGTATGAGAATTTTGCAAAAAATACGACTAGAGTGTTTATTTATACATTCGAGATAATATTCTAAAAATAACTTTAAAAAACCCAGATTTTGAAGTTAGAAAAAAATTCCAAAAAAATCTTCATTTTGGCATCACAGTGAGTATGCGTATACTAATTACCTCACACACTTAAGAAACACCCTGTATAATATTATAGAAAATTGTAAATATTATAAAATATTTATAATTATTTAAAATGTATATTAAATATATGTATATATCTGTATAATTGGTACCTGCATAAGTATAATAGCAACATAATATAATGTATCAGGAATTCAGGAATCATAATTCAATTTTAAAGACAAATGTTACTAAAATATTTTACAAAAAAAGAATCTATTTTCAGCATATTATTATGCAATAAAGGTTATGGTCGATTATTCAGAGACAAGTTGCGAATTTAATATTTTTGAAATAAGCAAAAAGCATTGAATGAACCACACTAAAAATAAACAACAAATTAATATGTATGTAAAAACATGAAGAAGAAATTAAGTATTACTAAGAGAAATTTGGGAAGCTAATAAAAAATAAAAATTACAAAATCAATTTGAAGAAAAAAAAGATTCTATAATACCTGAGTTTGTAAAAAAAAAGAATATATGACATCGGCATTTACATAATAACTGAATAATAAACAAACCGCAGAATGTCAAAAGAAGAACGAATTACATATACTGCTACTATTTTGTAAAAATAAAAATATTAAATTTCAATCCTAGAATAATCTCAAAGAAGATTTTTTTTAAGCAAATTACAATAAGTATCTTAAATTGTTAACATAGCAAAGGGAATGAGATTTGTAATTATTTGAATTTTTCAATTTGTTTCAAATATTTGATTTATTTACTTAAGTTAAAATATTGTCGCATATATCAAAATTATGTAAGCATAAGTACATAATACAAATAATTAATTAATTATGATTAAATTCGTATGCAAGTATATATAGGTATATTGTTATAGTCAACGACGCAAATAGGCTAAGACAACAATTTGTAAAGTAAAGGGTACAATGAGTTATGAATAAATTTAAATTGTATTAAACATAGAAAGAAGAAATCCAAATGTATAATATTTTTATTATTTATTAGCTTTAAAAATAAGGGTATTTTTAAGAAAAAATACAACAAAGACTGATGTATATTGTACAGTCGTCAATATTATTTTAATATACAATTAATGTAGTATTGATATTATTTAGTTATATATATATTAGAAATTGAAATAATATGTCGTCAGGCTAACGAAGCAAAATGCGCTGAGACAACATCATACATTTTGTCATTTTGTACTATTTAACACCGCAGACATTGGAATAGACGGCTCCGGGATTTTAACACGTGTAATAGCATAATTATTTTACACTTACCTTTACACATACCTATTATACACCTATGTGACCATATTATAATATATTTGAGTAAGAAAATTGTATAATAATAAATCGTTAAAAATGTCTTTTATTTTAAACATTGTAATAATAACTTATGACTTATAAGTCATAATTAATCTTGTATAAACAGTTTTCAACCTATGTTTTCCAAAACTATTTTACTTTACAATTATCTAGGTATCCACTGTGAATACCTACGTAGTATTAAAATAATATAATATAAAAGTTGCCGTCAGAGTTTGATAACTGAAAAATACCTAGTATTGAATACTGGATTTTGAAATCTTAAGTACGAACTTATATTTTAAAATTTTTTATACCTAATAGTGTAAATAATTTGAATTTATATAATTACATAATTGTTTGTTGAAAATCTTTTGATTTTTTGAGAAAAGATCGAATTCTAACATTTCATTTAAATTAAATTAACTTATAGACAGGTAAGTATACAAGACAATAATGTGCCAATGAATTCAACTTTTTTTCCCTAGTAATGCGTACGGCATTCAAATTATTATTTTATTCCATAGAACAAATTACAAACTTTTACTTGCCTGTCTTTTTTATTTTACTTATGTAAATCTAGAGTGCTAAATTTGTTTCGAAAAAATCTAATCTGACCTATTCTATTTATTACCAACCATTGACCTGATTTATCATATACATATATATTATATACATTAGACACAGTTACATATACCCACAAATAAAATAACCGTATTGAGATTGTGTAATTACTAATTATTAATTCTTGATGAACAAAATCAAATCTTTACCTAGAACAACCTGTACTTTGTTGTTAGCATAATGAAATGCCTAGATTTCGGATAAAAATATATATTTTTAATGTTTTATTTTGGTATCATTTTTGAATGATGATCCTATAAGATTCATAAAGGTTTAGCTAACAAATAACGGTTTGTCATAAAGTTAAAAATAAACAGACGCTCTATTTTATTCTGTCTAATTTATAAATTCTACTTTAAAAAGAAATAATTCCATTATTTTCATATACATATTCTGTCGTACAGACGTGCAGTATGTTATTATTATCAACGTATTTATCTACACCGCTATCGGTTATTAAAAAAATAAATTGCAGACAATTGCTTATTATTTGTAATAATGAATAGGTACATATAAAATACGTTTAGTGGGGTAGAATATATAGATATTGACGTATTGTCTATAATCTATAATATTGTATTCTTTTATACGAAATGTATAATATTAAACATAATGATAAAAAAAATATTAATTATAGTGAGTAAATAGTAAATAATATAATTATAATAATAATTTTGTTATTGTACAATAGCTAAACATTTTAATATAGGAAGACGACATTAATGATTGATTTAATGTAACAACTTTAGTTAGTACATAACACTTACATGATTACTTAACTTTCACGAAAAAGTTGCGTCCGAGTTGTAAACAGTTACATTTTAAAGATAGGTAGGTACGTACTCCAATATTATATACGCGATAAACCGTTACAAGTTACAAACTTACAAATGTAGAATAATCCAAGATATGTAAATTTGATACAAGTAAAATAACTGTAATATCCCTACGGATTAGACCATTGTTTAGAGTACCTACTCGAGTGCGACAGAGTGCCTTTAATGGTATAATGAGTGGTATTACAGTAGAACAAAAATATTATAAATAATTGTTGAATACATTTGTTGGATACTTGGATGCCAATTATTAGTAGGTAAGTACAATGCCTATAAATCGTTCATAGCCGCAATCGTTATTTTCAAGAATTGACATTAGGCTACACGACACACGTACCCACATCCGCCGGGCGCTCTAGGCCCGCTGCTCGAGCAGTTGTAGTCGAGCCTTGAGCGCTCGACGTAGTTGACGAATGACGATGATAACGAACCCCGGCGGCGGCAGAACCGTGCGTAACAGGCAACGATCAGCCGTGTGGTAGCACTGCGGTCGCGAACCAACGACCGCTTCGCGTCGCCGTCGTCGTCGCCGCCGCCGCCGTCATCGGCAGGTGGCGCGTCGTAAGCAGTAAGCCTGTGCGTAGTGTGCTCAATGGCCGCCGCGATCGTTCACCCGCCGCAATAGCCATCGCCGCCCGACGATACGCTCGCTCGAGCCGTTCTCTGTTTTCCGACGTCACCGATCCGCCGTTAGATACGCAAATCTCTCGACCGCTGTCCGTTTCTCGCGGCCCACGAACTTCGGTCAGCAACGACCATTGACAAGCACACGAATCGGACACGGCCTGTCGCCCCACGACTTACGCACCGGGACGCCCAGCACTATCTCGTGGTAAGCTTTCGATGCGGGCCGACCGGTCGTTCTGCTGCTTGTTTACTGCAGCCGTCGCATTCTGTTCGACTAATATAATAATAATAACACCACTAAAACGTCGTAGCCGTCGTTAGTTTTTACGCGCGCCGCTCTGTATGCTCAGGAATACGACAGCGGCGGCGGCGGCGGCGGCGACGTGCCGATAACGGCAGTGGCGTCGAAGCTCGACAATAATAACAATAACAATAACAATAGTTTTACCTGTCTGCGTACCCTGGCGGCTTCTTTGACGGCCGCTGACGAGACGACGAGCGGAGACGATGGCGGTTTCGACGTACCGGCCGGAGTGACCGTTGTCTTAGCTCGTCGTCTCGACCACCGATGACCTATACTTACTCATCGTTATTGTGTTTTACAGATCGCCACTGAGCTCTGGACAACTTCAGACGACCAGGCATACGATTCACTTCCAGACAGACTTTTTGACCGACAAGCTTTGTAACGTCCTGCTGTTGAAGGTAAGTCATCGTACTTATCATTGTGTACATAAGACTTCCCACCGCCTACCTACCTCTCTATTGATTGATGAAAAATGTTGTTTGCCAATACTTTGTGTTCACGCTAGGAGGAACCACTAAATTTTTCAGTTCGATGATCTTGGACTGAAATAGGGTTTTTGCTGAATGACAAATAGTACTTAAATACACATTTTTAGATAAATTTCAAATTTTTAACACTTGATACCCACATAAGCGATACAACTTACTTTTTTTTAAATGGTAAATTTTTTTTACATATCCGGATAGAGTATTTTTTTCTAAACAATTTATGTAAAAAAAGTTTTTTTCTAATCACAAATTCGGCATTTGAAATTAACGATGAGATTTAATATTTACGAGTAATTAGTTTTTGATGAAATTTAAAACTAAATTCAACTTATTGTTACTTATTACTAGTTATTAGTATCCAATATTGTTAAATACCCGTTTGCGCGTATCGAAAGTGTTAAAAATTTGAAATTATTCTAAAAATGTGTATTTAAGTACTATCTGTCATTCAGCAAAAACCCCATTTCAGTTCAAGATCATCGAACTGAAATATGTAGTGGTACCTCTTAAGCTGGCCACACACTACGGTTTTATTTGTACGTGTACGGTGTACGGTGTAGTTCGCACATTTTTTGTTCGTACACCGATGAACGACACACACTATCCATTTTGTATCTTTGTACGGTGTTCGAACAACACGGACCGTTTTTTTGACGAATGAATCGGCATCAAAATGGGCCCACACCTTCGGTTTTGTTCATTTTAAACACCGAACACGGACAAAAAATCAAACTCCTCAGTTTTTATTCCGTTTCCGTGTACGGTGTTTTTCATCCGTTTTATTGCCCATACATTTTCGGTGTACCTTGTTCGAACTACACCGTACACCGAAGACGGACAAATAAAACCGTAGTGTGTGGCTAGCTTTAGCGTGAACACATTGTACATATTTTCAATTATTTTAATAATCACTTGATATAGGTAGATAGGTATCTACAATTTCTGTAGGTGTAGGTCTTGTGTGTTATATAATATACCTTGGTACATCATACGGGTAAAAAGAACAAAATAGGCCACTGGTTGGTAGGATAATCGTTTCAATTTCCCTAATTATCTTTGTAACCAGATTTTCAACAGCTTAAAAAGTACATTTTATTTAATATTTTCTTATTTACTTGCCTAATTTCATTAATTTAAATCCATATATGACACAGGAATATGTGTTTGATCAAAGTGTAGATATCAATTGCCAAAATATAAATATAAATGTTGAATTTCTTTATTTGGTCATGTCAAATATCTATAATATCTATGTCTAATGTCTATAATATAAACTATCTAGTTTAAAACTACTTGAGTTTAAGAAAGCAAATGATTAGAATGACCATTGCCATGAATAATATTTTTGATTTGTAATTAAATGTATGCTCAAGTATACATAAATAAAAAACAAATTATTTACTCATTTGCATGAATATTCTGGTTTGAATCTATTTCGACAATTTTTTTTTATTTACCTACCTACCTATTAATACAACTTTTATATTATTAAATTCTGTTGTACAATTTATTAAAATATAGGTCAGATAATATGCAGTGTACTCTCGATTATCCATTAGCCGACTAACCTGCGAATTATCCGCCGTCTTCTGCAGAATCTTCTACATACCTACAAGAATTTAAAAAAATATATGTACATACATATATTTACATTATAGATCATTAACGGTTTAATTGAGTGATAATTTGTGATTATTCGATAATGACGTAAAATACAATACTCTTGTTTAGTATTAATACATATCACAGCTTTAGATATGATATACTACATATACATATGTATGTACTTATTATGTTATGTTCCTTAAATACTAGACCCTCAAATGTACATTGTATGTTCATCATTATCGGTTTTATTGGGTTGTGATAGTCGATTACGCGATAATGTACATTGCATTGTATTACTTTGCGGATTATCCGCAAAATTTGTTTATCTGTGGATGTCCTGCCACCCTATTTCACGGATAATCGAGAGTACACTGTAAATCTAAAACATTATTATGTTATCCCTGTAAGACCTAGTCTTTAAAAGTATTATTAAAATGTTTGTACTTACAAAATTGATTCTAATAAATAATATTTAATTTTTAGATTGTTCGTTAGCAACTATGTCGGTTCCTAGCCAATTGAAAATTGACAACTGGGGTAATTTCTTTATGCAGCGCCTCAACAACTTGGCCAAAAAAGATGAATATTGCGACTATACCATTCGTTCAGTGGCAAATGAATCTTTCAAAGTTCACAGAGTTGTCTTAAATACGTGTTCAGACTATTTTGTGTCCCACCCAAGTACTGACAAAATTATGACAATGCCTGTACATCTAGACTTTGATGCAGTTAAGAGTGTTATCATGTTTATGTATACCGGACAACTTCATTTCACTGAAGACAATCGTATGAGTTTAATTGAAGTAGCTGATATGTTACAAGTTACTGTTTTACTTAAGCTTCTGGAGTCACAGAATGGAGTAAACAAAATAACTCCTAAGTATCACTCTCCACAAGCTTCGACGTCAAGAACTCATTCAGCAATTGCACTAAATCAATATAGGCCTGCAAAGAAACCAATCTCTCAAACCAATACAACCGTTAGATCACCACCAGAACATACACCCGCATCTACTTTTATTAATACAATGAAAGTAAAAGATGTTTTGAGTGAGAATAAACCAATGCGGTTTGAATGTGATGCTGATGATGTACCTGAGTTTATAGAACAAACTTTTGAATTACCCAAGTACGATAGCGCACCTTTAATTAAACAAGAAAATAGTGAGAGTGCAAAGGCCATGCTGAAAAGAGCTTCTAATGGAGAATTGATTGATAAGAGCATGGACAAGGGTCATAAAACTCAAGTCATTAAATGTGAGGCTCAAAATATATTATCACCAGCGGGCAAGAAATTGAAAATTGTCAGTGATACGGATCCAGAGAACACCAATAGCAAAGTAGTGCAAGAAATTTTAAAGAAATATCCACATTTATTGCAAAGTAAAGGTAACATTAAATTGAAAATTATGTCTAGTACTAACCAAAGCCAGTTTGAAAGCATAATTATCAACACTCCTAATTCAGTCGAGAAAATATTACCAGTCGGAAGCGGTGTTAAAAAACCAATTACCACTCACAAAGTCAAGCCGGATATTATGAACATAAATGGGCCTTGGTCCTGTAATCTTTGTGGAACTGAGACCAATCCATTGAAGTTAGAGTCTTATTTAATATATAGGAGACATTTGGTAGAAAAACATAATGAAAAAGAAGACACTAGAGTTTGTGAACACTGTGGACACTTTTCTGTACGCAAGAGCTTACAAATACATCACATGTTCACAAAACACAAAATTCAACCGCCTGCTGATTTCAAGTTTCCTCAATGTGACGATTGTGGGTTTGTTGCTACAACCGAAGTTCATCTAAAACGACATAAGAGTTTGGAGAAATGTGGCATTAAACCACAAACAAAAACAGAGTATGGAAATTATACATGTGCTGAGTGTGATAGGACTTTCCGTTCAAGTTTGATGCTTAAAGGGCATTTGAGAAATTTCCATAAAGTTGATGACATTATCCCTTCAACTTCATCAACCAAAGAGCTATTGATTTCTGTTATTGATAATATACCACCTGGGTCCAAAGTTTTAGCTGAAAATAATATTATAAATGAAACAGACGATCTAGGAAAAGGCGAAGAAGTCATCTACAGTGAAGAAACTACAGAAGTAGAAACTGTGACACTGGAAGATGCTGAACGAGTACTTGAAGAAAATGATGATGATTGTAAATCGACTGTACCAGTTGACCTCACAGAGGAGTGGGATGATTTTGATGATGTGGATACAAACAAAAATGAAGAGTCAGACAAAGAAGATAACAGAGATGCTAAACCTTGTAGGATAGAATTGGAGTGAGTCAAAAATAAAATTTTATCATTCAAATCTTCAGAATATTGTTGTACTGTAATAAAATGTAGTATTTGTTATCATCCAATACCATTTTTGTAATATGTATTATATATTTGTACATCTCTTTTAGTTAATGAAAAAAACCACGACTGGATATAAATTGGTACTAAAGATTTAAAAAAATTAACAATTATTTATTTATATATTGTACCTAAATAACTATTATTTACCATTTAGTGCTTAATATTAGATTAAAAATATTAATTTGTCAGATACCTTTATAGTGGATGGTAGGTACCTATAGTATTTTTAGTCAGTGATTATAATATTAGGAATTTTGAATATTGTAAAACAATTTATTCGATACCATACTACCATTAAACATTATATGTATACTTTGTATTTGTGTAATACATTACATATAATAATGCAATGGACATAGCTTTTGTGAATTGCTATGGCACAGTATTAAATTCATCTTTAATAAATTGTAAATTTAAACGTATCAAAAAATGTGATATTTTTGTATTTATAATAAGTGTTGCTTGCCTATATTATTATATTAATTTAGGTTATTATACAATAAATATAGTTGTAAATCAAAAAGTTAAAAGAAAACAAAGAAATATTTTAATACCATACACATTATAACTTTTGACAACTATAAAGAAAAAAAATGACAACAAATAATGATTTATTTTTCTTAAAGATATCTATGTACATAATGTTAAATAAACTATTACACATTATATTATCTTAAATAAAATAAATATATTTAATTAAATATTTTGGTTAACAGAGTTTATGAAATGTGACGTTAGTTAATTTCTTGATCACCGTCTAGTTAAGTCTATATTTCAAAATTGTTTTTTTTTATCTAGTCAAATTATTATTAAATACCCAAGTAACAACTAGATTTTAAATAACAATTTAATATTTCTCAAGTACTTGTTTAGTCATGTATTTTATAATATGTATTTTTTTTTCATACAAGAATTGTTAATTTTCCTTTAATAAAACATTGGTCAAACCATAAAAATTTATTTTAGTTAATTAGTACTATAATGGTGTATAGTACAACATGAATTAGTTGAATGCTTAATATTGTATTGTATGACATTAGATAGTTTTAGTGAATGCATTGTTTTAAATTTTTTAATACCAATCATATTTATTGTACACATTAGATGAAAACCTGATGGTACTTGGCGTATAGTAAATATTATAATTAATAATTAAATATATCTTCTGTAGCTATTATACGCCTATTTTATGACTATAGGCCAGGAGTGCTCGACCAGTTTCTTTTAGACCTAAGAGGAATATTGGTTGATCATATTGAAAATTAATTATACCAATATCGGTTAATCACATGCATAATCTTAAAAATGTATACGCTTTGTACTCAAGTAAAGTATTTATCAGTGAAGACAAACACAACATTTTCAGATGGAGAAATAATAAAAGAAGAAAATTATTATACAATTTATTGTTGTGCTGCTTTGAATAATATGAATATTATATACTTAAATAAATTGGGGTCGATCACCAGATACTTAGCATTTTTAATGAAGGCTATTTGTTGGAATAGGTTCGTCAACCCCTGTTAGCTGTTATAGACATCATAAACTTGTAACGTATACTAATACAACAGCACACAATTATAATGTAAGCCCTTTATTAAGCTACTGTTTTGTCTTGCAGTGTTTCAAAAAATCACAACAAAAGTATGAATAGTATTTTATTCTGACCATTTAACGGAGTGTGAACATTTTACCAATGAGACGGTTTTTTTTACTACAAATGGGTCGGCTCCAACATCCTTAATACATTCATACATGTACAAGGTAAAAAAGTACGAAATATGTTCAACATAATCCATTTTAAAATGCATTGTTCAAGTATTTAAAAAAAAATTACTATATTCTGTATATAATAAATATTGATACTTAATGTTGCAGTTAATGCAATCAGGGCCGGCGTTACACAATTTTGTCGGGGGGGTAAGATCAAGTATTGCCGACTCAAAATTTCTAAAAAAAAAATATGTGAAGTATAAAAATGCCTGGTTTTTCTGTGTTAAGGCGAAGTAAAATAGTTAAAACAAAAACAAAATATAGAACTAAAACATTTTAAACCGTTTTATGCATAGTTAATGATATGTCGACGGACTTAACATTGTACAATGTACAAAAACAAATAGTTATATATTATAGTATTATAATACGGGTCCTTACTCTTTAGCCGACAATATCAGTCGGCAGTATTTAGATTTCTAAATCGGTAAATTCTCAACTGCCGACTGCCGGGACCCGTTCCTATATTCAATATATATATATTTTTTTCAAAAAGTATAATTTCCAACGGACAACGGCTCCCTGAAATTGCTGAAAAACTGATGATTACAAAAAAATTCAACAGGGGGGGTGTGACGACCCACCTTACCACCATTGCCGCCGGCCCTGAATGCAATTAAATAAATCTTAACAAACAATAAATTAAACATTGAAATAATTATATAACTCGCTGTTATTCAGACAACCGTACGGAATACGGTGTACGAAATAATTTTTTTAAAGTTATTTATATTATATGTCCTAAAGGTAAATATTAGGTAACATCTTCAATATTAAAACTACCTGTCAGTGCAGTAGCTGGGGGGGGGGGGTGCTGGGGTGAAGTTTCCTTTGAAATTTTTCTATGATTAATTGTGTCATATAAAGTAACTGGTGATAAGTATTCTGGTTCTACAAAAACTTAATGGGAAAAAAATGAAGTGCGCCCCTCCCCCCCACCCCAACAACAATTTGTCTGTCAATTGTAATTTTTCGTTTCTATTGATCGGCAATCTGATTTTACAAGCAAATGATTATTCGAGGAATTATTCTGTTTAAAAATCGGTTACGGTGCAAGTTTATCAAGGTTGAAGTTCTTGGTTTGATTATTATTTCGCTGACACGTCGAAAATGCTTAATTCAAAAACTTAAACACTCGTAAAAATCCTCTTCGGTCGAAAGGCGGTTATACCTATATAGATAGCTTTGGAGCACTGAATGGGTTATCATATACCTATATATAATAGAAGAGGAACGCTGAACTCTCTTTCTTGAAAGCGCTTTAAGAAATTACAAAATTATACCGAACGGTAAACTATAGCTTAACGCAAACCGGATTTGTATCTAAATATATTGATTTAGTATTTATTTTTTTTCTCGAAACAGGGAGTAAACATATTGTTTTTATCAATTACTTATAAGAAAACAAGTATGACTACCTTTACGGATGTACCTGCCTAATTTTTAATTATATAATATTATATGCTTGTGGCTTATGATTTATGAATATTATTAATTTAGAATTCTTTTAAAATGTCCATCGTCGTGTTAAAATCAAAGCGCAAATAATGAAATGACGAAGAAAAATATAAAATGTTGGATGTAGGAATGAATATTGCTTAACACGACGAAATCAGTATTTTTTAGTTAACGACTTTCAGACATTTTATTTTCGACACGAGAAGCTTAAATAATTAAATAATTAAATGCTTTACCGTCAAATCAAAAGACCTAAAAGAATGCAAAATGTAATGGATTGCTCCCTATAAGAGTCTCGAGTCCACTTCCCCTCTCGATATCGTGTCTCAATTCGATTTAAATAATAATAATATGTAACAAAGAAAAAAACAATAGTAAATGTACCTACCTGCGTATTGGCTATTATTATTGTTCCCCGATGTCGATTACGTAGTAATCATCATTACGCATAGTGTGGTTATAATAAGCAATAAGCGCAGTGTAAATAGACCATTAATATAATTTAATATTTATTAAAATTGTCCGACCGATATATATGTATTCTATCTAGGTGCTGATTACTGACCACGGTACTTGCGGTTAGCAAGTCGTCGTGAGACTGAGGTCGCACGGACAGACGACGGATGATGAAATACGTACGATCTATAATCTATATACCTAATATTTTATTACATATTACATTTCCGCATAAAACAAAACAATAATACCTATTATGATGTCGGATTATTATTTTTTTAATTGGACTTTTTACTGTAGTTTTTTTTCGTGTCACGCGTGTGGTCGCCATCTATAGTATAGGTATTATTATTATTATTTGCCTGCTCGAGGCCTTAACAGCATTATTCTAATAATAATTTTATACCTATTGAAATGTACTTCATTTTCCTTCAAAATTTTTAATTCCGAGCTGAGAGATGAATGAATTGGTTTTACAATGAAGTGTTTTTGGTTTTTTGCATGTCCAATATTCGCCTTTCGAAGCAGTTAAAATGCTTTAAATCTTCAATTATATGAAGGCGGTTAGGTAAGGTGGATCTAGTTGTTGGTACTTTTGGAGGGTCAAAAGTAATTTTTGTCACATCATTATTATTTAAAATTCAAAAATATTAACCATAGAAAGTTAAAACATTTCACTATGTGTACTATAGTATAATATGTTGTTTTAATTCATATAAAGAATATAACATTTTTTTATATGTAATTTCGCAGTGAATATCCTGAGAATAATTTTATAAAAATATGAAAATCTGTTCTCAACCACCTCATTGTATCGTACTTCAGTTATCGGGTGCAGTGACAATCTACCTACTCAATGACGAGGTACACTGGATATTTTACAGTATACCTACTTTACCAGTTTTTTGGTATTAATTGTTATTACTGTAGGTAATATTATTTATTATATACCAAATCGTTCTGATGATACACATACGTACTTTAAACATTTGTTTCAAAAACTTTTATGACTTTTTTCAAATTTATTTCCGATTATCCACAGTTGGTTTGATATCGTTTCCATCGTACACAATATAATCTATCACAACAGTAAGCAAAATGACGTTTGTAAGGAAGGGGCTAAAAGCAATTTATAAAAGTATTTTCCCGCTATACAAGGGCGGCAGCACGTGTGACATTTGCATAGCGGTATTGCTATTGAAAAAAATCAAATGAATTCTGTACAAAAAGGTTCGAATATTAAAACGATGGAAAATTACTCGAAAAAATATGTAAACAACTATATACCAATCGTTTCCAAAATCAAATTGAACTTTCTTGAGCTGTAAATGGCACATAATATAGTACCAAACATTCTTGCTCAAACAAAAGTATTGATATAAAAATATATCCCAGTTATTAAATTATATTGAATCCGGTATAATATCGTGACTTTTCGAAGACGTCGCCAATTCATATATTCATTTTCAGTTATTTTTTAAAAATAGGTACCTATATATGTATTTTATACTAAAATAAATTATTATAATGTACTTAACTGCCAAGTGCACCAAATTACATGTAATTTAGTGAATATAGTGGCGAATTTCGGTAATTGAAATCATCAATAAATCTTTTCTATAATACTTAATAATCATCTATAAGAAAGCAATAATTAACTAAAGAAT